GAGGGGAGGGGAGGGGAGGAAGAGAAGAGGAGAGAGTTCCAGTTGGAAGGGACTTACAACGATCATCTAGTCCAACTGCCTGACCACTTCAGGGCTGACCAAATGTTAAAGCATGTTATGTCCTCAGACAGCTAGCTTAGCAAAGCGTAGCTTAGCCAATGACTTTAGATTAACAGCCTTACTTTTAGAGGGTCTACGTTAGGTGGGACAAACCCCATCCTTCGTGTCTGCGCAAAGGAAAAGAGCAGATCGATCGTATTTTTGCTGCCAGACCCCTTCCTATTCAATGTGTGGGCATGTTGGCTTTCCAGTATCTCCAACCCCGAGCAAAAGCCCTTGCCGACACGCCCGGCGGTAGGCTCCGGTGACACAAAGTCTTGCAAGTGCAATGAATGGCAGGATGCCACCAGGACCGTCTGCCGCAGCAGGAGGGAGGGATGGAGGGCGCACAGGCCATGACCTTCGCTGTGCTAACGGAGCGTTGCACGTCGAACCATGGAAGGCTGCTCTTGCGCATGATCACTGGGGTAGGATCGGCATGAAATCGATACAGGACACTTATCAAACACCCTATCAAGCGCTTCACATTCATGCACCCGCTGATCTTTACGGAATTATTTTTGTGCAGCATCAGTGTGGAGATTTAATTTGCATTGAAAACAAAATTTGCTCGGTGAAGCCTATTTTCATGTAGTTAGGTATAACCATGTAAACACACTGTTAAACATCCCTCCATGCAGTGCTATTAAGTTCTGAGATTATTCTTTAGCTAGTTCTCTAAAGTGTTTGAATGTAAGTTTTTTGTCGCTGCTCCTGTTGCTAATTTAAAACTTCTAATATTAATCTTTTTGACTGGTGTGAGGCGTCAGTTCTCTGCAAGTGTTAATTTACTCCCAGTTGGCCGGGAGCGGTAATACGTTACTATCGCTGAGCTCTATTATTTGTTTTCTCTTGTTGTCGTTTTCTTTTTCCCAGTCGGGATCTCAAGTTTCCCCCTTTCCCTCCCCAAATCTTCTGGGCTGAGATTGTCCGCTTCCACTTACAATCCTTTATTGTAGACTACAGTCTTACTGGGGGTGGCCATTGCGATTTCTGGCTCCAGCCGAGATGTCTCAATCTGTGAAATCAAAGAGGAGGCAAGATCAGGATCGGCATCGTGGTGGTGTGCTGCAGCAGGAGCTCGACAGATCAATAAATTAACGTGGAGAAGTGTAATATGTAAATAATAGAATGTCAATAATGCCTTTTCCGTGTCATTTTAATGTGCTTTACTCTGCTCAAGTCTCAGAACAACCCTGCTTGGATTGACTTATGAGACTTGCATGAAATGATGCACACTCGCTGCTTTGCAATATTCAGTGAATTATAGAGCGCCTCTGAGAATCAAACGGATCCCACCCATCGTTTTCCAGGAGAGATCCCTTCCTTCTCCCGCAGCCAAGGTCCCCTCGCATGGTGCTGGAAGGAACCCGGTCCCCGAAGCTGCGGTTTGCACCCGTAGGGACCCGGGAAAGCCAAGGGCTGCCTGGTGACACAAGGGGACAGCACACCCTCATTTGTCTTCTGGACCGGGGCTCTATATCCTCCAACGAGGATGGATCACAGCTAAAATCTACCTACCCCTTTCTCTGTCTCCATTAAATCTCCAGCCCTTTCTTAATTTCTTCCTTTCGCCGGCTTCGCACAAAGCTTTCCCTTGCTCTGAAATCACTCCGAACCTTTGCATCCCTGGGAGGGATCCGTGGTGCTCCCGGTTCCCGCCGCAAGCAAAGATCCCGCTCCCAACCGGGACAGGGCACTTTGCAAGATCAGACTTTTAGAAATCCTATACATTGAATTGATGCTGTTGCTGACACAATGCTAGGAACCCACGTTAAAATCTAAATGCTTTTGAAAATGTTTAACCTAGTTAGACAAATTAGCAAAAATTTGTGCAAAACAATTTAGGTATTTAAAATATTCAATGTTTTTAAAAACTGGAAAAACTGTTCTTAGCTTTCAGCTGCAAAAACCCAACAAAATATAACATCAAAGCAATCTTAACATGAGGTGCAACATAACCCTTCAGCAAAGCTGTTAAACAGCTACTGAAGCATCATGGGAAATAGCACTTCATTTATTCAAATGCACATATGTCAGGTTTTTGCACCATATGTCATTCCAAGCTATTTACAGTAATAATTAAATCTTAATCAACGTTTAACCTCTGTAAAATGTTTGAAGGGATCTAATCACCCTTCAGACTGCACTAATGAAGGAGAAATATATAAACATAAAAAGAAAATGATGCATAGATAGCACACCAGAAAGAACAGTAATTGCAAAATTGTATTTCTTTTAAATATAATCAGCAAATTATGTAAAGTAAGCCAACGAGTATTTTAAGTGAAGACATCTTGGGTGTCAGAGGTGTGATCAGCTAATTTTGTACTGCTATCCATAACAGATGTAGCATATTTTCTTTTAGTGCCATTATTAGCAACTTCACCATTTCTTTCTGTGCTGAAACACAAAGTGAAGCATTGTGCCGGGGAGGGTACCCAGCAAAGGTGCAGGAGAGGCGATTCTCACGTACACCGGCACTGACGGGATCCATTTTGAGGGAGGATTAACTACGATCTGCCTGGCTCTGACGCAGCTTTTCTTCCTATTGTTTTCTTATTTTTCTTCCAGAGACAGAAACAAAAGCTCCGAGGCATCGGGGCTGGGTGGTTTCACCCACTGGTATGAAAACATCAAGGTGGGAAGTGCTTTAAAATGACCTGGAATTGGGTGGTCCCACCCTGACCATCCATGCTGACGTCGGTAGGGCTTGGGGACGTACGTGGGGCAGCTCGGACAGAGCAAAACCCAACCTACTGCTGGGACGTCTCCGCAGAAAGCTAACGGAGATCCACCAACACTCCCTTCTTCTCCAATGGGGACTGGAGAGGTGGGAGCTCCATGGAAAGCCACGTCTGCCTTGGTGGATCCCAGATTTGTGGCCTGAAAGCAAGACCCATGGGGAAATGTTGAGGACCTGGATGTGCTAAGTCTAGAAGAGAGACATTCAAGGGAGGCATGGTGGTATTGGCACGTGCAAGAGGCTACGGCACAGAAGAAAGGAGTAATGTTTTGTTCACGCTCTCTTGGGACACAATTCAAAAAGCATCGAGTGAGATCCAAGCTGAACAGCAGGAAGAGTATCCTAGTGGGAAGGAGCAAAGTATTGCAACCAAATGCTTGGGGAAGGTGTGGTGTCTCTGTGGTGGGAAGTTTTCAGCACAAATGAGATGAAACCCATCAAGAATATTTTAAGCAGAATTAAGTTTGTCTTGGTGGAAGGAGACAGATGAGATAATTGCTTGAAGATCCTTTCAGCTTTCTTCCCATGGGTCCAGGAGGGAAACGGCCTCCTTTCCCTGCATGGCTGAGCTCTTCATTCACGGCAAGGCTGTACACAAGGCCGGTAGATGGGATGGCTTTAGGAGGGACAGAATTGAGGTGTGATAGTTCAGAGGCAGATTATGGTGTCTGAGCAGAAGGACAAGGGAAAGAATGCCTAACGCAAGATGGACACATAGTCAGGGACTCCTCTGAAGATCTTGAAAGAGGATACAATCGGTCACAGGCATTTGTTTGGAGCTGCATATTACTGAGCTCACTTAAGCCCCTTTCCGAAGCCTGGGAAGATGTGAAATAAATTTGCTGGGGGGTGACTGGTTGAACTGGAGCGATCTCTGCAGATCCCCTTCTGGTTGACTTTAATAAAGCAGATATTAAAAACCGCTCTGGAGCCTGAGCTACAGGAGCTCCAAGGGGTGCGTCTGCACCAAGGAGGCAGGTACAGGAGGGACATACTCCACAGCAGCACTGGCAAAGCCGTAAGTTACTCCTCTCAGTGGGAAATCAAACGCAGAAGAACAGGGAGAAGCATTCGGGTGGTAAGCTACAGATATTCAGGCAACATTAAGACACAACCTTATTCTGTACCAGTTCAGTCTTTGAATCCCTCAGGGTTTTTTTGTTGGAAAGTGTAATTTCACCTATTTTGGTGTAGACTGCTACTCCAGCTGTTCAGCATCCTGGACCTGCTTGGCCAGCCTTCCTCTGGACATGGCATTGTGAAATGGATCTGGAGACCACCGTTTGTTGTTGAGTTTCTTGTGTCTCAGCTTCAAAGAAGACCCCCAGCAGGATCCTTCTTGGTCATGGCCATGCTGGGAACCCCTCTAACAGGGAACGCCTGCCATGGAGGGTGCTCTGAGGAACAGGTTCTACCCTGTTGGGACTACACTGATGGGACCTGCCCCACCCCACACGGCGCGACTTTGTCCTTTCAAACTGAGTGCCCACCATGGGACTGGGTTTGAACTGTGTCCATCCTCTTCCTCCCGATGAGGTAGACCTACCTGTGCTGGGGCAAAGGACGGATCCCCTTCCTGGCTCTGGGATGACAGCACTGAGGTGCCTACCAGAAAAGGGCCTTCAACAACAAATCCAGGAGACGAGAAGTCCAGGAGGTACGCAAGCTCACAACAGCACTGAGGGAACCACAGTGTAAAAGCACCACTCCCAGAGAGTGCTACAAGGGGCTGATTTGGGAAAAAAACCCCAGGCTGTCAGGCTGATAGCTGCATGAGCATCAGTGCAGCATTGGCCGCTTGGTATATGCGGTCAATGCTGCATATACATACCAGACATACCAGCATGGGAGACGCTATAATGAGGCAGCGGAAGAAGGGGGAATTGCTTCACCCCCCCCTGTGAGGCTACTGGAAGCTTTGCTATAGATGCAGGGAGATCCTCGCTGGCATGGCCAAGGTGCCTCTCCAAACTCATCCAGAAACATGGCCGGCGCTAGCCACAGCCCATCGCAACACCTGGGAGCCGGTGCAGCCTGAGGATGCTCCTCTTCCCTCTAGCAGATAGCCAAGTGCATGAAGAAAAAAGGGAAAAAACCAAGAAACGGTGTCCCCTGACCTTATTCAAGCAACTGTTTATAAACCAGCATCACCCAGGTAATGCAGGCAGGATGACAGCGCTGGCTTTTTAGTGGTGCTCCTGACCCGGTGAAATCTATCCCTCTCGGGGAACAAAGCCGCCGTAAAGTGAATTGCCTCTTGCGGTGCCCACCACGTGCCAGCTCTCTTCCCCCCATCTCTGCCTTGCAGTGGAAGCCTCTCTCCTCTCATCAGCACAGACAAGGCTAATTGGGGTGATAAAGAACTGGCTCCGAGTGCTGGCGTGGGCTGGAGGAACAAATG